ACCACTCTGGACCTGTCCACCGGCGGCGCCTCATTCTGCCATGAAGACGCCTCAGCTGTTTTCTATGGACTACACAAATACACATTTACACACACACACACACACTCCTGTTAACCCATATGAGGATGGGTTCCCTGTTGAGTCTGGTTCCTCTCAAGGTTTCTTCCTTTCTCCATCTCAGGGAGTTTTTCCTTGCCACTGTCGCCTCGGCTTGCTCTTCAGACACACTCTCACACTTCATCTTACTTTTTTGTTTGTGTAAAGCTGCTTTGAGACAATGACATTGTAAAAAGCGCTATACAAATAAACTGAATTGAATTGAATTGAATTATATGCAGGAATACATACTACATATGCTACGTAATGTAACTTACAGCACAGACAGATCTCTACCAAGCTGCCAGAGGGGGCCCTCCCCCAAATCTTAAATGTGTTTTTCTGTTGTCATACTGTTGTCATTTCCTGTCAGGTCACTATGAAACTCTTTGTTACAAAAGGCTTTACCTATCAGGCTCCTTGATGGCACCCCTTCAAGAGGTGAAAATTGTTTTGAAACGAACCATTCCCCTTGAAATGCACACAGGCATATCAAATGCTCTCATTTATGATAAAAAAAAATCTGCCCCATTGTTTTATGTTCACCAAAGTTATCTACTCCACAGATATCCTGGAAAAAAGGTGAGCTAATCACTTGGGGTAAGTCACGTTATAATAACTGCCCTTCTCTCTCATCTCTCTCCATCCATATTGAAACCCAGAGTGGAGTGGGGATATCCGAACCCTACTCAGACCTTGCCAAAGTCTTCAGTGAAACCAAAGCTGCTCAGATGCCAGCACATTGCTCTTGGGATTGCACCACAGACCTCCTGGCAGATACTATGTCCTCTAGGAGGCATGCTTATCCATTTTCACTTCCAGAAACCAAAGCTATGAAAGAGTACATCTGTGAGACACTAACACAGACCTACATTTTTCCTCAACCTCACCAGCTGTAGCTAGCTTCTTCTGTGTGGGGGAAAAAAGACTTGGAAGACTTGAAAATGGAAGACTTTGGCCCTGCATAGACTACTGAGGTTTGAATGCAGTCAAGTACCCCTACCCTCTTACACTGGTTCTTTTGACCATAGATTTGCGAGATGCTTATAACCTCATATGCATCAGAGAGACTGATGAACAGAAAGCCGCCTTCATTACTAATGCAGGTCACTATGAATATTTAGTAATGCCATATGGGCTCGTAAATGCTCCTTCAGTTTTCCAGGCCTTCATGAATGAAATTCTCTGAGAGTTCCTGAATCACTGTGTTATCATCTACATGGATGATATCCTAATCTATTGAAAGACTGAAGCTGAACACATCAAACGTGAGCTGTTCTCCATAAACTTCTTGAAAATAACTTGTATGTGAAACTGGAGAAGTGTGAGTATCACAAAAAGTCAATCAAGTTCATGGGTACATCCTAAATATGAATGGAATGGAACGGGGTCAAAGCAAAGTTGAAGCAGTTAATTCCTGACCCCAAACAACTATTAAAGACTTGCAATGCTTTCTAGTATTTGCAAACTTTTATTGAAGCTCCTTCAGCGGGTTTAGTACAGTGGCAGCCCCTTAACTTTCCTCCTCAAGGGAAAACCCAAGACACTCCACTGGACTCAGGAGGAAGATCTAGCATTTAAAACCTTGAAATGCTTCACAACCTCCAACTCATTGTAGAGGTAGATGCCTCTGAAAGTGGAATAGGCGCTGTATTGTTCCAGCACCATGGGAACCCAAGGTCCCAACCAAGGTATAACCATGTAAACTATGACATGGGGAACTGGGAATTATTTGTTAGAAGGAGTTCTATTTCCCATTTCTGATCCTCATAGACTATAAGAACTTTGAATATGTCAAAGCCGCAAAACAACTGAAACCTCATCAGCCCAGAAGAGCTCTCTTTTTCACATGATTTAACTTCACCTTAACATATAGGCCTGGTTCTAAGAATGGAAAAGCTGATGCCTTGTCACAAGTATATGAAAATTCCCCTTCTAAACATTACCCTTGGACAATCATCCAATGAACAAGATGACCCTGCACCACCAGATTGTCTCAGAGTGCCTCAATCCATGCGAGACTGGGTGTTGCAATGGACACACACCCCCATCAGCATGGGTCACCCTGGCATCTCAAGAACACAGAGGTTGGTGGAAAACAAATTCTGGTGACAAACATTAAGACATGATGTTGAGCAGTATGTCAGAGCCTATTCAGTCTGTGCATACTCATATGTTTCCCATGGGGCTCCCTGAACCACTATTTGTAACACATCACCCTGGATTTTATCACAGACTTCCACAATCCACAAGGTAATACCACCATACTCAGCATCATAGGTACGCAAAGGAGACGCCTCATGTTTATCCATCCAACTGCACATAGATAGCTATAACATTAACTATATTGTGTAGCATGAGGTCACCGCAGATGATGAATTGATTGATGATTGTTGACAGTTTTTCTACATTGAAGAATTTGATTAGATTTAAGACTGACACTAAACTGAGCCCTTTCAGCATACATAGCATATGTATATAGCATACAGTCATGACTGAGAGAAGAGTCCTTTAAGATTTGTAACAAGTACTTTGAAGATCTAAATAAACATGTAAAAAGTGAAATGCAAGGTTTTTTTTCTTGCAATTGAAATTAAGTAAGAGTACTTAAGTTCAATTTCAGTAACATTCAAGGTAAGTACAAATACACAAAATAATACTTAAGTATAGAAACAAAGTACAATTACTGAAGTATTTTCCACCTCAGCATATTAGCCAATGTATTAAATGATGAATTAGTAGTGTTTTATTCTCATCTATCCTGAACAATAAAGTGCATGGAATGTAATAAGTTCATTCTGCAGTTATAAATCATCCTAATGTAATGAACTCTCCAAACTCCCAGACTGATTACCTCCCACACCCAGTACACTAACACAACCCACTCCATCAGTTTTTGACTGCATATGAAATCATGTTACTCTTCTGTGTTTTTCCTTTGTTATTCCTGCTGATTGTATTTGTTGTGCAAATGTAACAGAGGCTTGATCTAGACAGCTTGTAAGCCATTTCTGAGTGATGTTTTTCTATTTTTCTATTACTTCAATTATTTTCAAAAATAATTGAAGTAATCTTGTGGGAGAAATTATTTCTAGTTTGTGCTAAAGAGAGCTAGTTAATCTTGTATCAGTGTTGCCAAATAAGTGATTTTTTTCACTTAGGTGTTCACAGGACTATCGCACCACCCTAAGTAATCAGTTTCACTACTCCAATCAGCTGAGATGTCCCCAAAAGTGCATTCATAACAATATCATAACATATCATAAGTTCCCAGGTGTCCAAGGTTCAACCCTATCATTAGGAGATAGTAAACCTGAATCCTGATGACTTTATCAGACAGCTGGTGAAACCTAAATGTGATAAATACAACTCTTTAAAGTACATTTTCAGCCAGTTTTTATTCACTACACCTCTACCTTCAGCTTCTCTCCTCAGGACAGCATTTTAAACCCTAAAACTTCCAAAGCCTGTCAAAAGATCCAGATTCAAAATGTTCAAAATGGTTGTTAGCGACATCATCAGCAGGTATGGTTCATAATTTCAGAAATATAACTTCTGATTTAAAATATGAAAGCTCGTCAGATGAAGATGAAAAGGAAGATGCCAATTTCACTGGAAGCACCATTAACAGCTAGCTAGCTATCTGACATGTTATGTAAGTGTGGCTTCTTCAGGATCTATATCCGCTAGCTGAGCAAAAATAAAAGAACATTTGGCAATATTGTGTTAGAAATGTCAGTTACACTATATTAATTTCTTGTTTATAGAACTGTTGTAAAAAAGCAATATAGCACTCGCAATCATGCGGTTGTACCCAATATCGGAATGGCTGTGATTAGCTATGGTACTCACCCTTAAATACATTCACAATACAAATTATTAATCAAGTTATTGATTAAAAAAGCCTGTTATTGGATGTTTGATGTAATGGATGTTTCCTCTTTGCTACAGGTGAACAGAGATTTGTAGACAGTGAGGTTGGCATGGTGTGTGTGTGTGTGTGTGTGTGTGTGTGTGTGTGTGTGTGTGTGTGTGTGTGTATGCATGTGTATGTGTGTGGGCGATACTGGCATTATTGATTTGCTCTAGGTGGCCCCTTCTTCAAGGTCTACTCCTCCTATCTTAACAAAACAGTAAGTGCCATAACTATAACTTGCTACTTTGGAAAGACCATGAGCGATCATACAGAGAATCAAAATGACACTGCAGCACAGTGGAAAATCTTGTTAAACGACCAAAGCATGCATCAGTTACACACTGTATAACCTGACCCATAGAAAAGCATATCATTCACTCACCTGAAGCGTAACTGTAGCT